CCTTTGACATTATACGTTCTGATTTCAATTGTATTATTGAAAAAAAGAACTTGTTGACCATGTAAGGTACACTGCTAAAACCCACTCGTTGCCTTCGGATACCGTTGAAGTGTTTCCCGCAGATCCTGCACGGGGAAGGGACAAAGGCTCTCGAGACGAATTATCGCTACCGTATCTCTAAGACCACGCTCGTCACGTTCTTTTTCGACTGCGATCCAGTGCTTGCCACTGGTGAGGATCACCTAAAAATGGAAGGATAAAGCTGGGATATAAACGCAATACATCAAATTTTAAAAGTCACATCAACAGATCTGCAGCCTAACATGCCTAGCTTTTGAATGGATTTATTATCAAGTAAAAGTGTAGAACTTATGCAGATCCTGCTCTTCCTATCAATTAAGTCTTCCAAGCCATGAAGCAAAAAGCCACACACGAAGGTCAGACGCGCGATAGTAAATCACCTCTAACCCCACTCACCTTGGTAACCTTTTCAGGTTTACAGGTACTGTCATCTATCACGTTTCTAAAGTGCGTTCCAGGCGCGAACTCAGACAAAGACGAAGCGGCCTAAAAGATTGAAAAACTAGTCAATCAACATAATTAACAGCAAGGCACTTTTCACCGAGTAATCCTGGTGGGAGCACTCTATTACTCAAAACTACAGTAACCTATTAGACACAACAAGACAACCTTGTTCTACTAGTGAGCGGCCACGCCTAGGTAGGCCGTCCTCTTGAATTCGCACTTGTAAAACATGAAGGAAATATAGGAACCGAAGAAAGTCTGTCCAGGCACAAATCTCATACGCATTCACCAAGAAGAGCCTCAATATTGGTAACGGGTAAACATCAGAAAAAGTATGCGCAAATAGTCGAAGTCAGGTGAATAAGTTGCAGAACAACTCACTGGCAATATTTTTAGCGAATATGAAAACCTAAATGGCTCAAAGCAAACTCCTCATGACCTTAGTGCGAAATGGTAGGCTGTGAAACCAGTAGACCGCTCACACAATGATTTTTAAGAGTCAAATATTAAATTTAACGTTCACACACGCAATTCATGGCAATTTCTCAACTGCAAAAAAAACGTTCCAAACCGGGTCTTT